ACTAAGAAAATTCCATGAAAATCTCGTCAATCGTACAAACAATACACAAGAGTCAACTAATACTTTTCTATCACAATGTTTATTACAGTTACCCGATCTAACACATTTACGTTTACCACAATGAGTTTAAAAGATCGTGGTAAGACATGAATACTTGTAACATTGTATGTATCAATACGATAATCAAAATCAATTATACTTCTTGTGCTTTATTTATATATCTACATATTTCAGTTTATGATTTCGAAAATAATATAACAATGGTTATTTCTTTTATCTTTTGCTTTTTTAATTGTTGAATGAAGTAAAAATTAGATTTTGTTATTTTTTGCACAAACTACTCATCCGAAAGATTCACTGTGTGCATGTTTCGGGATCCTAGCTGACCTATGTGAATAGTTCTTTTGATAGACCAGTTTTTCCAAAGCTACAGATAGTGGCCTCAGGAAAGTTCCGAAAAATTGTAGATAATTTATCAACCTTCATGTTGATCAATTCTTTTCAGAGAACTGTTTAAAAAGTTTAGTTCGTATCAGAAAAGCTCATTAGAAAGTTGAATTCATTGAAAATGTTTTCGATCAGATCAGTTCGCATCAAAAGAACTGTTCACACATATGAATTGTTATGAAGAAAACCTTTCATCAATTTCTCCCACATGAGCTTTTACAAAATGTTACCTCTCCTACTACACTCATATAATACAAAATTGAAGTCAGTAAAAAGTAATTTTAAATAGGTATTCTTGATAAAATTAACACAGAACACATAGATGAATTGTTTCATTCTCTTGGTAATGGAACAGTCAACCGACTACATCCAGCTGTATATGATCTTAACTCGTTGCTCATGGCTCTAGTAATATCTACTCATAGATACAGCACTGAAACACAATCAAATATTCAGATTTTATTCAGTATAGAGGATATAGATAGTCATTTGCCTTATATTTCGAATATTTTTTGTTGTTGTAGAGAACCAAAATCGACAATATCTGTCTAAAGTCAAGCCTCTTCGAAACAATGTACTGTTCAAGTCGAATCACAAATATCGGCAATTTTAGCATCTAAAGTCGATGCCACAATTCAAAATGTAAATACTACATAATAAAAAACATGCAGACTTAACTCTATTTGGTCATAGTGCATAACTTATATTTTTTCTGACTTTGTTGTTTTTGATACTACAGTTATAATTAATATTCGAGTTTGTTTATTTTTGAATACTTACGGCAAGCTACTCTCCAATGACATTTTAGTCGTTCATTTGAGCTTTCCTATCCTTTTTTCGACCATAATTTATTACTAGATTATAATTTCGACATCAACTTTGCCTATACTTATGGCGAAGCATTTCCAGGGTATTTGCCCTGTTTGTCTTCATATGTATGGGATCAATGAAATATCGCAGTCCTCAAAGGACTTTTACTCATGTTTATATGCGGTCCAGAAAGCGATGAATTGGTGAATTTCTCCTACAGTTACAATATTCAAAACCAATGAAATAGTTTATATGAACTACTAGTTTAATCAAGATTTTTATGTATCCAAAGTTTTAGATCAAAACTCCAAAATATAATTTTACCTAAAACTGAACGCCTACAGAATGAATCTGTTAAAAAGCTTTTGAAGGTAGAGCTAATTTAGTGATCCTCGACGTACGGCCATAATATTGAGGATGATGAAACAGATCATTCTCTGATTTAGGAACAGATTCAATTAGAAGCATTTATGAAATAAGATGAAAATTGTACACAATTTGAATTTTTCTTAACGATACACTTTATATTATTCAATCGATATAAAGAGCAATGATCGCTTCATTAAATAAACAAAAGAAAAACGGTGAACCAATTTATTCATGGTACAATTATTTAAAAAAAAAATAACAATTAGTTTTTAAACGTTTATTTCTATTGTTAAAATCTTTCAAAGTTTGTTTCATCCTCAATATTATCTGGAATAATATTAATCAAAACTTATTCTAAGCATCACATATTCACAAATACAACATAAGAAAAGTTAGCAACAAATTCGAATATTTCTTGTCGATATTTGCTTCTACGTCTTAGCTAAATCTAACCAAGCATTTTCTATTGATTTTTTTTTCTATTTTTGCCAGGCATAATTAATTAAAATAAAACAAGATAATCTAACTCATTTGAACTTTAATCATTGCAATATCATTCGACAAAGAATTTTAGTATTTTCATCCAGCACAACTAATTCAAAGTACAACACAGATTCCAAAGCGAATATTAACGAGAATGACTCGATTCCGTTGTCAACTTTTCTTACGTAATATACGACAAGAAAAAGAAACAAAAACAATGGTTAGATTTAAAGAAATCAAAAGGCATAATATCAACAGGTATATGAACGACTGACATTAAAAGAAATGAAAATATATAGAGAGATTCACTAATAATCCAATGCTCTTTTTTTGTTTTGTTCATTTTCAATTTTGCGTAGTTTTTTGATAATATATCTGACACTACGCAGAGTATATTTCATTCATTTTTTGAAGCTGATTGAACACTAAGGAAGTTTTTTGTTGGCAATGTTAATGTTAATGATGATTCTAGAAATAAAAAAAGAACAACAATAAAAAAATAAAAAGCAATTTCTTTTTTTACCGGCAGACGCATTTTGACTAACACCATTTTCTTTTACATATTGTTCCCATTTATCATCATCTTCATCTAATGTTAACCAACGTTCACAAGAACATGAATCTTCAAGTTTACGTAAATCACAATAGAGTTGATAATCCTATACAAAAACATGATTAACTTATAGAAAATAAAATCCATACACACACACACCTCAAAAAAAGCATGTCTAAGTGCATTAGCAGCAGCAAGTCGATGCCCAGCATTGACTTGAAGCAAATGATGTGAGATCAGATCAGTAGCTAAAAAAACAAATATTATTCATTTAACATGCAATTTATTAAATTAAGAAAAAAAAAACAAGAAACAAATCATCCATGCTAAAATTCTCCACTTAAATCAATCGATTGGAGAAAAAACTTTAATATATACCTAATCGTTTTTTCTTTCTATCAATATCTAATAATCCTAATAAAAACTTTAATTTTAAAAAAATGTAAATAAAATATTTAAATCAAAACTTATACAAAATACCGTCTTTTGATATATCTTTCCATGGATTTGATGGAAACATAAAATTTGCATTACGAATTTGCTAGAAAGAAAAAACAAAACAAATTCTTTTCACAAGAAAAATTATTATTTTTTACATCTTCAATTTCTTCATCTTCATTAAATGGAAAAGTACCACTTAATCTAAAACAGACACAGACGAACTCAAATACACAAAAAAACACTTATAAACATAACACTTACGAAACATAAATAATTACACCACATGACCACATATCCAATGATCTATTATAACCTTTTTCTAAACGTATCTCTGGTTTTAATGCTTCCGGTGCTAAAATAAAAAGTAAATAAATATCACACGTAGTCATCTATTCATAGAATACAGTTAATATATTTATAGTCGTGACTCTCCTCTGCACATAAATACTATCAAATAATATAACGGAAAACATGATTTTAAATTTTTACTTTTATCATGTCATCACGTTCAGTTAATATTTAATAACTTATAGTATCAACCTAAAATTAGTTTTTCTTAAAAATAAATGAAGTTTTTTACTTCCTTAACATAGCAAATATCTATAAGAGATAGAAGTTCTATAAAATGTCTTGCTATCCTAAGACATGAACGGAAACTGAAAGCAAAATAATTGATTGTACTCATGTTTAATTGACTAACAAAAACAAGAATTGTCGATAGTAATAATAAGACGTCTTGAACTTAAGAGTTCCTCCCTCTTTTTTCACCAAAAATGCAATTTCGAACTAGACGTCATATATCATAGTCTCAAGTGTCTTATATAATTAGAGACATTATTCGATTCTAAACAGTTTATTATTACAAAAT